GGCAAGGTGATGTCTCTGCTTTTTAAGATGCTGACGAGGTTTGTAATCGCTTTCCTCCCAAGAAGCATGCGTCTTTTAATTTTTGTGGTAAAAGTCACTGCCTCCATATCTTCCCCTTCCATTTGCCAGGAGGTGATGGGACCAGTGGCCACAATCTTAGTTTTTTTGATGTTGAGCTTCAGACTGTTTTTTGCACTCTCCTCTTTCACCCTCATTAAGAGGTTCTTTAATTCCTCCTCATTTTCTGCCATCAGAGTGGAATCATCTGCATATCGGAGGTTGTTGATATTTCTTCTGGCAATCTTAATTCTACTTGGGATTCCTCCAGTCTGGCCTTTCGCATGATGTATTCTGCATAAAAGTTTAATAAGACAGGGGACAATATACAGCCTTGAACTCCTTTCCAATTTTGAACCAATCTGTTGTTTCATATCCAGTTCTAACTGTTGCTCAGAAGTAAATCTCACTGAGTGTGCATAAAATGCTTTCCTTAATCTCATTTAAATTCACCATATGTTACAAGTGGATCAAAATAGTGTCTCCACAATCCTAAATACTGACAGGCAGGCAAAGTGGTCAGGAATTTCTTTTGATTTAAGTAGCAGATCCTGATCTTTGACTACTGCTAACCTAAAAGATTTCCTGAATTAGACCTTTTGGTGGCCACCATAATCAGACAGAACCTTTGGAAAAACTGAACTAGGAGCAGAACTTTATACTCCACTTACAGAGAGAGTGAAGAAAAAATAGCTGATAAGCTCATACTATTCAGATAAAGTATGTGCCTTGATGCCAAAATTACAAGGAAAGGCTGGAATGTATGTTGCATCTTAACCTGTTAACTGCATCTGACGAAACATGTTGCAGTCCACATTAACTGAATCCAAATAAAGCTCTTTAGACTTCAAGGTCCACAGGAATCTTTGTTTCACTGTGATAAGCCAACACAGCTACTCAGCCCTACTAGCCAACAAAGCACAGAATTCACAGCTGTTGACTGACAAGAGAAATGCTTTCCAATGTAGACTTTGAAGAAGTCTTATACCACAATTGGTAGCCAGTCTATCGAGAACATGGACCTGAGAAAGGTGTAATAAATAACAACAGCAATAATAATAATGCAAATTCATGTTCTTATATGAACATGAATTAACTGAACAAATCTCTTTTCATTGCATTTCATATGAGGAAAGTTCCCAGTGTTAAATAAGTTTTTTTTTTGTCAGTGCATGAAAATCACATTCCTCTTGAATTCTGATCAACCACTTTCAATAGCAAAAGACTGAAAAAAAGAAAAAGTGGGAGAAAGCCCTACGAAGGTTTACTTCCATCTGTTTTGTCGTATGAGATGTGGCTGCATACATACAAATCGTAGAACAATAATTTTTAAATTTTATAGATCTGCTCTCTATATTTATAGGAAATAGAAGAAAATTACCCATCCATAGAGCAGTGTACTGCTGTGAGTTAGAAACATAAAGTCCTGAGCTGACTGGTTGAAACTTTAGTATGCTGGAGGTGAATTCAGGGCATTTCCCACTGATGTTAAATATTCACTTGTTCTCCGAAGTCCATCAAAACCTTCCACTGTGCATTAACTGCTGCCTTCCTTTCCCTCTTCAAGGTAAGGGAAGGGTAGGGGAGCCAAAAAAAAACTTGAGCCTGAAAGAGTTTCCTTCAGAGTGGAATGAAACAGATGACAGATAGGCTGCCACCAGTTGAAAAGGAGCAGACTGAGAAGGTGTCATATCACCATGGCAACGATGCTGGAGCATTTCAGAAAGATGGGCCATTTTGCTTGCTTTTCACCTGCCAATCTTCCTCTTCCTTCTTTCCTTCTCTTCCCCTCAAATGTAACTCTCCCGCTGCAGGAGACAAGCTGTGACATTTACACTCCCACTAATAAGCTGGCTGCATGATGGGCAAACACCTTGGGAGAGCGTCTGTCACAAAGCCCAAATGGCATGGCTCCACAGCTCAGCAGAAGGGGCTGATTTTTCTCAGGCATTTAGTGTGGGATTGTTGCCTTTCTTCCCAATCTATTATTATTAGTGCGATTAACAGTTGCCTGTACAAAACAGCAGGTGAGGCCATTCGGAGCCAAGAAGCCAAGGCAAGCATGATTTTTTTTTTCTGTTTCAATTTTGCTTTCTTCAATGTGGGCATGACCTCTACACCAATATCCAACTGGGAAAGAACTGTTAACTACAAGATAGTAGCCACTCACCCGAAAATGACTTTGCAATTAGAAAAGACATCTTTCAAGCAAAAAAAAAACATGTGAATGTCAAGAAGCCACAAGATATGAAGCAGTTTCAACTATAGAGCCATACTGTGACTGTGGAACAATTTCAGCCATAAATCCATACATAGATATATAAATATATGTTCATGGTTTGTATGGTACTTCTCCAGCTAAGCTTTATATACTGTATATTTCAGGCCTTTTTTTCTTTCTGGCCAGTGTCATCTATGGTAGCATTGAGGAGATTAGTCTTGTGATCCTGAGTTTTCAAGCAGTTTTCCCAGGTGTGGACATATCAAGATTCTTGATTCCATTTGCAGAATCGTATAGACATAAATCTATTTATACATTTTGATCCATTTTATTTCCTCACTGGCCCCATATGTAGGCCTTCAAAGAATTAAAGTACCAGTATTTGAAGAAGCTTCCTCCAGTCATGCTTTGAAAATGCAGAAGAAACAGCCTTGAAATCACAACTTACATACCTAATCTTGAACCTTTTTCTCACTGATCTTATTTCTCTCCACATTTGTGTTGTCAGGTACAAAAGACATAGACTAATCTAAACACTTCAAAATAGTCTTATGAACAGAACATGATTAAATCTTTAAAATAAAAATGTGGAGGCAGACTATAAAATATCCCCGTTCTACAGATGGCTAACTAAAGGCATGGACTTTGAGTATCCGAATTATGACTAGCTAGGTATTTCCTGAAATGTTTTCGGTTAAAAAATGCAATGTTAAATGCAACATGTAGACGAGAACACTGAATTGTCATCTTACTCAGGAAAGAAATGCACAAGGTCCAATCACAGAGTTCCCATGTCCTTGTTTCTACATAGATTGAAACTACAGGAGTGGCAGCTCAATAAGCATTACATTTCTAGTAAACATACCAGAAGGCATAGGCAAATGTAATTAGCTAAATTTTACACCAACAGTTAATTAATGGAAGAATGGCAGCATTCTTCTTGCTGAATTGAAAAAAAAATGACCCAGACCTAACTGGGGTGGGGTCTGTTACTATTACTAATGAAGACAAACAGAAATTCTGTATGGCAGATATTTTGACACAAATGTATTGCATTCCAAAGCATTTGTTTTCCCACTTCCACTAACATTTATATGTATCTATCTCAATTTTACATTATCATTTTCAAGGCACTCCAAAGATATGATTGTATTATTATACCAAGTCCCACAACAATGTCACCTTTTCATTCCTGGATGTAACATGCAAAGGGTCTCAGAACCACATGGATGAGAATCCAGGAAGGATTTGAGACAGCTGCATCTTATATCAGTGGTAGCTGGTGCTCATTGTTAGTTGGTAGATTGGAAAACAGAAGACAATGGTGGGTACAGGCAGAGCCAGGACAAAAATGTCCATGCACACATCACCATTCATGCAAAGGCAGGAGGGCCTTCACCCGGACACTGTCCCATTCCCACCACATCCACTGAACAACTCAGCTGAGGACCAGGAAAGACACCAAATTGTAAATGTTCCCACATGAAGCTGCTTCTCCCTCCCTCATCTCTTTTACACATACATAGACAGACAAACAGGCTGTGAGTTAAAGCAGAGGAGGACACAGGAAGACCATGACAACTCTTCACCTCTGATTAGGAGGCAGGATGGAGTGGCCTGGCTGAAGGTCATCTGAGGCTGAGGAGGGCAGTGCCCCTTTTATTCTAAGATCTCAGTTGTCTTATGCCAATGTGCACATGAGAAAAACACCTTATATTACCTTTTAAGACACATGGGATTATTTTATTTTTTTTTGAAAACATATAATGTAGGATTCAGCCTCTTCAATAACTTATGGTAAATTTCTAAGGTAAATTCCAGCAGACATTTGAAATTGGAGTTCCACTTGCCTTAACATTTGCCTCATTTAGATTTTTTTAAGTATTTATTTTATTTGACAATTATACACATTGAAACAGATACTAGAATATTTGTCAAATTATACCAGTATTTCTTGTGTTTCTAATATTAATCTTAAGGCTCATTTTTTAACCTCTGTAAAATTAAGAATAATTATACCTACCTATTTAACACAACAGATTAATTACTGGATGCTTCTGAAATTAGTTTATAATAAGAATCAAATAAAATTTTATTAATTGGTGATGGATAATCATACTTATCAATAAAATAATGGATTTTAAGTGCAACACTATGACATGGAAACAAAATAATAGCTTTATTACAGACAAATTTATTGCTCATCTAGGGACAGAACCTTTTCAATGTCACTGCAACCTGAATATCATACAAAAGGGGATGGAGATGGTAAGGGGAAATAAAATAAGTGTTTTTGATATGTTGCCCGGCAACAGATGTTGCAGGGGAAAACAATCAGATGAAAAGAACAAGCATATCCAGGAGAGTGGGCTATTTTAGGAGAGGAAAAGACTGAAGTCTAGCAAATGTCAATTCAGAGGGGATAACTAGTTACTAAGTTATTGAAACATACTAGGAATTTGGGGGGAAATAACTATTGGGGTGATGATTAGAAAATCTAGTTCAGCCCTTTCCCAGAGAGTTGCAAAGCCACTGAAATATAGTAAAAGAAGGATGTTGAAATGTCTTATGTGTATTTAAAAGTGTTGATTCTCCAGTGGTGTTTGTTATTATATTAAGCAGTTGTGCGCCATGTTCCCGAAGAACAATGTTGTGCTAACAGCTTGTTTCTTCCCCTTCCCCCAATTTCCACATTCCTTTTCCCTTCTCCTTTCTCTTGTAGGACAAAACAAGTGCTCTGAGTCTCAGCAATGTGGCCGGTGTTTTCTACATCCTCATTGGTGGCCTTGGATTAGCCATGCTGGTTGCCTTAATCGAATTTTGTTACAAGTCCAGAAGTGAATCAAAACGGATGAAGGTGGCAACTCACATTCATAGGCCTTTCACACTTCCTTTCTGATAGCAGATTTCTAATATTCTTTTAGAAATGGTCTAAACTTAGGATAGCCATCAAAGCAGAAAGTCATTGTTTCCCCGCAGCCAGGAATAAAAATTCTCGAGACTGTGAGGGAGCTTAAAAATTGTTCACATTTATTGTGTGCACTAAACTGCAAGGAGGAAGTTAGCCACACTAACAAGCAGCATGGGAGGTTTGAATTTCATATAAAGAATGGGACATCCCACATCTGAATGTCATAAAGTAGACTGGACACTTTCCCTATTGAACAGCTGAGGCAGCCTTTACTGATTAAGCTAGGTGTCTGTAAAGAAAGTAGTGCATACACATGACAAGACATTCTTCTAGCATGCCAGTGTCTTCCTGCACTGATAATCAACTAGACAGCAAAATTATCCCAGGACGGAGCAGACTCAACAGGACTCAAATAGATCACTTGGAAGTACACTTCCAAGGAGAAACTGTAGTAGAAGGGAAAACAAGAGGATTAGCTCCTCTGGCCTTGTGTCTAAGCAACAGAGATGGCTTTGTAGAAGACATGGCAGTAAAGGAACCTCTAGGGCACTGGTTCTTAACCTTTGTTACTCAGATAGTGGTAGAATATACCAGATGGGCAGGAGATAAATCAAATAAATAAATAAATAAATAAATAAATAAATAAATAAATAAATGTTTTTGGACTGCAACTCCCAGAAGCCTTCACCATCAGCTCTGCTGGCTGGGGTTTCTGGGAGCTGCAGTTCAAAAACACCTGAGTAACAAAGGTTAAGAACCACTGTTCTAGGGGAAAGTGATCATGCTCTACTTGAGTTCTTGATTTCAAAGAAAAGAAAAGCGGAGTATAGTTGCATATGTATGCTGGAATTTAGAAAAACCAATTTTAATAAATTCAGAGTAATGACAAATAAGGTCTTGTGGCAGCAGATCCTTAGAAGAAAAGATGTTCAAGATGGGCAGGAGTTTCTTTAAATGGGAAATACTAAAGGAACAAATACAAATAATTCCAGCAAGAACAAAAGGTGGAAGACAGCAAAAAAGACCAATGTGGAAGGAACCTCCCTGATAGATGGTGAGAATGTTGTAGACATAATATATATTGACTTCAACAAAGTGCCCCATGATATTAAGATTCGAAAGCTAACTAGCTGTGGGCTGGACAAAACAATCGTCAGGTGGATACACAGTTGATTATAGATTCATACTCTTGAGTGCTTATCAATGGTTCCTTCTCAAACTGGGTGGAAGTAACAAGTGGGGTACAAAAAGGGTCAGTCCTGGGCCGGGTGCCCTTCAACATTGTTATTAATGACTTGGTTGAAGGATGCTTATTGAATTTCATTGTGACACAAAATTGAGTGGAATAGCAAGTACCTTGGAAGACAAAAAACAAAATTCAAAAAATCTTGATCAGCATGAGCTCATATCTGAAAATAACAGAATGAAATTTAACAGAAATAAGTGCAAAGTTCTACACTGCGGGAGAAAAAAAACCCCAGATGCACAGTTACAAGATGCGGAAAATTTGTCTCAGTAATATTACAAGCAAGAAGGATCTTGGAATTGTAGATTACAAGCTGAACATGAGGCAACAGTGCAAAGTGGGTGCAAAAAGGCAAATCCTATTTTAGCCTGCAACAACAGACAAATAGTCTCCAAATCACGTGAAGTACCAGTTCCCTTCTATTCAGCAACAGTTAGCCCTCATCTAAAATACTTTATCCAGTTCTGGACAGTGCACATTAAAAAGGATGCAGACAAATCTGAACAAGTGTAGAGGAGGGCAACAAGGATGATCAGGGGGCTGGAAACCAAGCCTTATGAGGAAAGGCTGAAAGAACTGGGCATGTTTAGCCTTGAGAAAAGAAGAATGAGGGGAGATATGATAGCACTCTTCAAATATTTGAAGGATTGTCATTAGGAGGAGGGGCAGGATCTGTTCTCAGTCATCCCAGAGTGCAGGATATGAAATAAAAGTTCAAGTTACAGGAAGCCAGATTTCAGCTGAATGTCAGGAAAAACTTCTTAATGTTAGAACAGTATGACAATGGAACCAATGACCTCGGGAGCTGGTGAGCACTCCAGCACTGGAGACATTCGAGAGAAAATTAGACAACCATCTGTCAGACATGCTTCATCTTCAGTTCCTGCATTGAGCAAGGGTTTGCATTGATGGCTTCTGAGGCCCCTTCTAACTCCATTGTTCTGTGCTTCTATGCTTCTGCATTGAAGCATTTAAAGCAATATTTCCACAAATAATTCATCACAAATAATCAGCATTACACTTGCAAAGTCTGTATTTTAACTCTGCCTTAAGAGAGAAAG